CAAATTGGATGAAAACTTATGAAAATCTGATGAAATGGGATAGATACAATCGGATATATTAAATATCAAACATTTAATATCCAATCGATAAAACCAACCCAATCTTATTTTCAATTGGATTGTTTCGATTTGGTTGGTGATAGCGAATTGGATTGAATCGGTTGACAATATTCAATATCTAATGATTGATTAGATTGTATCGATTGAATACAATAATGATCGGATATTTAATGGTAAACATCCTAGATGAACTAGATATTGAGGTTGAATAAGACGAGTACGTATAAGAGAACTTTATAAAGAAGATAGAGTCGTTGGTGTGGTAATTTGAATGTGAAATTTGATATCATCCAACTCCTCCGGAATCCTTTGAAATGCTATGTTATAAATAATGGATTTTGTTTGTTTCTATTAATAGTATTCAAAATGTTTATGTATTTGTTTAATTGCTTTTTATAATAAATTATTGTTTACGTGTGCCGATAAGCAATTCACCCTTTTGTTAAAGATAATTTTAGATATCTCATAATAAATTAACACTTTCAAACTAAAGATGTTACACTTTCAACTAACGATAACATAATTTAATACAAAACAACCTAAAAAAACGCTATTAAATGTATGATAACCACATCTGTAAGGTCCATGTGTCGGTGATGATGTCACCTTCGCTTACAGTTATGGTAGTAATTTTTAGTTTTCCCCTTGATGTTTGGGTTTTACAGCTTTCAATCCATCAACTTTAAAATAATCCAAAATACTCCCATCACGTTTTGAATCTGATTTATGTATAAACGATGAGTAGCACAAATTTAGAATTGATTTTATAACTCAAATTTTTATGCCGATTATATATTTATATTACTTTATAAAACATTTCATTAATCCAAATATATAACACTTCTAAGTTCTAAGTATTAAATTTTTTGAGAAAGGAATATAACTTCTTCGTTTCTAGGTTGATATACATTTACAATAACTTTCTCTTATTATTCATCATTTTAAATATTCAAGTTTTAGTAAAATAATTTATTAAATCCATAATTTTTATTTTTTATAATGAAAAAATAATTTCACAAACATATCTATGATTTATTAAATCTTTTCCATTTCGGCTTCTTCTTTTTATTTTGATTTAGTATATAATCACACTTGATATGATAAATTGTATTAAAATACTATTATATATGCATGTTCAAATCTTTAAATTGAAATTATATTAATTCTGGTTAAATATGTGATCGGTTAACCAACATCAATTTAAATAATAAGTAAGAAAGAATAAAATACAAGATGGATATAAAAAAATTAACATTATGAAAGATATATAAATGACTATGCCATATATTTGTCATGGTGTCACTTGTGAGTATGCATATTATAATTAGTTTCAGTTTTGTTTCTTTGAACTTTATATCAACATCCAAAACAAAATAACTTTTCCTTATCACCTCACAAGAAATACCATAAATGACAAATATATAACCAACTATTTAACCAATAGAATACAAATATTTAGTAACCTTTAATGTTACCAAAAAAAGAGTATTATATATATTTTACAAAAGTGAAGTTACCGCTATAATGGATAAAAGATTCTCATGAACACATTTCTTATTTCTATTCCATTTGTTAATAACTAATAATATTAAAAAGAACTTAAATTTTATCTATAACTTTTTTATTCTATTAAAAATATTTTAGATATTTGATTTTTTCTTTCTAACACCTACAAGATTTTAATAGAGATAAAAGAGCAAAGATGGTTTGGAACTCTACTGCGAGAGAGACGCCTCGCGAGCCGGGCTTTTAGAGATGAGGCCTTTTGGCGAAGCCAAGTCAATTTCGGACCACCAAACCCTGCAACCGATGAAAAGGCCCTATGGTATGGAGTAAAGGGAAGCGTGTACGTCAGATCGTCTATATAGACCTCAAGCTAAAAAAGACAAGAAAGCAATACGCGCCTAGTAAGGCTTGAAAGTCTCTCTGCATTTTGGAAGCAGAGCATGCAGAAAAATCGAGCAATATCAAACCCGATAAACATCATAAATATATTTGATTCTTTAAATAAGATCTATTTGATATGTTTTTTATTAAGACTAACTCAGTCAAATACAGACTATTTGATATCATAATTAGAAAGTTGTAATTTGACCGCATATCATTAGATAGTTGGATATGCTTCTTAGTGGATTTGATTAAAAATTGAGTAACTCTTTAAAATTTGATTCAATCAACAAACTATAAAAGACCAAAAATCTTTAAAACTTACTAAAATGAGAGCAAATAACAACACTGTAGCTCCAAACGCATTTGACCAAAACCACAAGGTGCAAATCTTTAATCCCCCACCAATACCTAATTTTCCTTAGCCATAGAATATTTACAAAAATAAAATATTATAAATCGAATTCAATGGCCAAGTCACAAAACGATCATTAAAACACGTCCAAGTTCAATACAATGTTGATATTTGGCTTAGGCACAAATCCGCTCATCCTCTCTAGAGATGAGAGAAATATTAATGAAAAAAAAAATTATGATTTAAATGTATTTTTTATAAATTAAAATGGGTATTATTACCTTTAAAATCATATTAAACTCACATCAATGCTCATAAATTATTATGATTAATATAATAGAGGAATGAGAAAATATCTTCTCTAGTTTGAATAAAGTGACAATGACAAAATATCTTCTTCCTTTTTATATAAAATAAGAAAGTTATTTGCTGGATCCAATTTGTCAAAGAGAAAAAAATGCGAGGTGTAATCAGAAATTTCATCGTAACCAACATAATATTTTAATCAATATTCAGAAAAGGTTTTTCCCAAACCAGATAGACTACGCAATAGTTACTTGTACATCGTGCATAAACTTAATATCTTAACTTGACACTGAAATATTTTACTCTGAAAATATTGATTTGACCCTAAATTGTGGTAGATAAGAGTGAGGTGAGGTACTAGAAAACCCAAAAAAAACCCACCCAACATTCTGCAATTAATACCCTCCAGATTTTCTGAAATCCCCAAATTTCAATTTAAGTTTGTTCTTCGCATTCAAATCAATAGAAATCGATTTTCCTCTGTTGATTTCTTTGATTGCGATGGCGGTTTCTGATGTGGTGGTTCGCAATTTGATGATGCTCTACTTGGCGGTAATAGCAGCGATCAAAGCATACGGCCAGCTGAGTGGGCGGAGCTACGGCGGAGCATCGGTGTTGATTCTATCCACGGCGGCAGTTGGAGTTTTGTTGCTCGGAGCTTTGACGTGGGATGTATCTCGTAAAGCTGCGACTTACACGGTGGTGACACGTGACGGCGATGAGGCGGAGCATGAGATGTGTCGAGGAGGAATCTGTTGGCACGGCGTCGCCGTCAAGTCGCCGGCGTCTCAGCTCCGGTTCCGGCTCCCACAACGTCAACACATCAACAATGGCCAATGAAAAACAGAGGACCAAATCCAATTGACCAAATAATGTAATATAACAGTTATAATCGATCGATGTGAGTATAAAATTTCAACTTCCTGATTTCGGCTTGCAATTATATGTATAAAAAAAATAATAATTTTTGTATAAATTTTTGAGGTAATTATTGGTATTTTATGTTTTACCAATATATAACATGATAAAAAGAAAAAGACGGAATGAAGAAATCAGTACTTGTTGAATTTCTTTGATTTTGTAACTGAATGTAATATTTTATACTTTAATAAAATTATAATTAAATTCCCACCTCTTTATTTGGTCATATCATGTATTTCTAGACGTAATAGTAATTGTATTTTGAGTTTTTACTCAAAAAGTACAGATATTTTATTTCGAATTTCAGCATCAATTTACGATGTTCATAGACAAGGTAACAACAATTACAAACTGGCCACAAGTGAGATTCAATTATTGGCCCCAATAAAGGGTCCAAGATAAGTTAAAGTCAATTTAGCGGGCTTACAACAAAGAATGCTCACCATAGGATTTATCTAAATAAATCCTCTTAAACACTTTGCTTTTGTGAAGATTAACCTTTAACTCGGAAGCGATAAAGAAGCATCTCAAAAGTCTATTGAGATTGACAAAGTTCATTTAAAATCGATTTCAAAGAAAAGTAACATTATCCGCATAAATTAAATGTGACAAAACAAGACCACAATTAGGAAGAGAAATCCCTTTAAAAAGGTGTTGATCGCACACTTCTTGCATAGCAACACTAAGCCCTTTCATAACAATCATAGTAAAGAAGAAAGGGGGTTCAAATTGACTCAACTCCCCCTAATTGCAAATTTTCTCATATATATGAACCATTAACAAAGATGATTGAAGCCCTACCAGATAAACAGGACTGGCTCAACCAGTTTGGAGGTTCAAAGCAACCCAAAAATTTGGGGCACTTTCAAAAGTATTAACTAATTAAGTAATCACGGTTAACCTTAATCAACTTTAAGATAAAGTATTTTATTAATAATAACAATTTGGTGTTTTTCTATCCCAATATTCAATAAGTATTTCTTATAGGTTTAAAGCTTCTGAGATGTATTAGTTTAAACCTTTGACAGTTTATTCCAGATAATATCGATTCTTAAATTTGAATAATGTATTTTTGGTTAAATTCTTTTTAATCTTGCAAATTAGTTTTTATTTTTGCAAGTTGTAATTAATCAAACTTGAATGGGTTTAACGAACTAAAACATAACATACATGAGAGATAATTTAACTAATTAAAAAGAAATAATCGAGTTATGATTCTATTACTCCTCTGTTTTGATAGAGAGGATACAAGGTATGATACATTTTTTAGTGAAATTTGAAAACAATTTCATGGCATGTGACTACAATACTACAAATCTACAATACAATCATATGACATGGAAAAAACATTAGAAGAAGAACAGATGGATCAAGGAACTTGGAAGAAGTCGTATATTACCATTTACAGAGAAGGCTTCAATGAAAAAGGAAGAAACGACTTCAATTGGAGAAGGAAGAAGTTGAAGAACAGATGGAACTTGCCAACTTTGAAGGAACCTTGTGTCGTGAAGAAGAAGAAGAAGAAGATCAAGCTGAACACATAGAATCTGTATGCATATTGCAGAATTGAAGAATAGAGAGAAATAAGATCAAACGTCGTTTTTTTTTTTTGGAGCTGCGATTAGTTTAGCTGTTTAGCGTCTTAGCCGATTAGGGAATAGGGATATACTACAAGGACTCCTTGGTTTGTGGGGCTCTCTAGATGTTGGGGCGCTTAGCCCTAACTTTGTTTCAATTAGCAAAAGATCGGCCCTGCGGATAAGAGACAACCTTTTTTTTTTTTTTTTTTATCTAACATTGCCACTTTTTACTAAACTCAATTTGACTTATAACCGAGTCAAAATATTATCAATTAAGGAAGTCAAACACTTTATCAAAATCAACCTTAAATATTCGAGTTTTTATTTTAAACCATTTGGCTCATGTGTAGTATTTATTGATCACCAAGGGACCATTAAGGATACTTCTCCCCTCAATGTAAGTTGATTCCTTTGGTCCTACAATTTTGCCCAACACTTTCTTGGGACGTAAGGCAAAGATTTTAGGCAAAATTTTGTGCATGCGTCGAATTAGATTCACCGGTCTTAAGTTTTTTAAAGATAAATGATCTCTAACTTTACAGATAACTAGATAAGCCATCAAATTTTAAATATGACAAGACCTTTATAAATATAACTTTAGATAACGAGATAAGTTTTTCTAATCAATCCAAAGTTCTTTGTTATAATAAAAAAAATAACACTTTTAAAAAGTATGACAAGACCTTTATAAATTTTAAAGTAAAGCCATCAAATTGCAAACCAAACCGTCTCCTTTATTTCCAAAAATGAGAATGAATATCAAGATCTTCGGTTAACGGCTTTTTGAATTTTGAATTTATAAACTTCTGCCTATCCGAGAGAACCTCATTGAATTTTGAAGAGAACTTCCAAACCTCATCCTTATTTATTTATTATTTTTTTTTCTGGATCTGTAGACATCATCAATTATGAGCATGTTCATCCTGTTTTTCCTTATATTTCCATTTATAACCTCATGATTTTTTTTTACCGTTTTCATCTCCTTCAACTTTCCATTTTATTTATCGTCTTTTGTCTAAGATCCAACATTCTGATGATAATATGGTATTGATTTATAACAGGCGTACTTTTCCAATTTTTTACTAGCACATCTCTTTGGAGAAGAGATATTTCTAGACTCTGCTTTAATCTCCAATTCATTGATATGTTTTAAAATATTTGAAAATTCTTTGAATTCTATGATCTATATATATGAGATCTCCAACTTATAATATCATGTTTTCGTTTTTAAGTTTCAACAACTACTTGTTTGCCTTACCCTCACCACCAAAGTATTCCAAGAATCTAAGGTGCTGTTTGATTTTCTGAAGCAAAAATTCATGAAGTCTGCGGATCATCTCTGCAATCCTCTGCAGTAGAAGAGGTGGACCAAACGGCTGCAGATTATAATAAGAAGCGTGTTTGTTTTTTTAACCTCTGCACACTGCTACAGATATTAAAAAATTAAAATAAACTAATTTTATAAACCGAAAATAACATTTTAATACGTAAAATTTAATAATGTATAACATTTCGTTAAAAATTAATGATATTTCAGTAAAAAAAGAATGATATTTTAACAAAAAATAAAGATATTTTAGTAAAAAATAATGATATTTCATCAAGAAATTATCATTATTGAATATAAAAAAAATAAAAAATAAATTCAATAAGAATAAACAAAAAAAAAACGGAAAAAAAATATGAAATAAAATTTTAATAACATATAATCAAAATTTCAGCAATAAAAAAAAGAAGAAAAACTAACCAAAAATAGAGCAACGCTAACTTCTCATCCATTGTGGGCAAGTTTGGGAAGATTGTCGTGCCTCTAGATCACATCACTAATCGTGCTGATCTCTCTGTGGCAAAGATAGCCATAACCACAGAAAAACTAACCAAATTCAACGAAGAAATACTAGTGGAAGCGGATGGACAGTATTATCAAGTGGGTATCATAGAATACGAAGATGAACCATGGTTTCCATTTAAATTCGATGAAGAAGAACAACCATACGCAGACTCGGACAGGGAAGGAAAAGATGAATTGATGATTAGTGAATCTGAAAACTCAAATTTCAATGATGATGAAGAAGGTGTATCGGGAACATGGATTAACGATATAGAAGAAGTATAAATCGCCCAAGAAGACACCATCAATCCTCCAAGTAGTGGTGGTGTTGGCCTACCGCTACCAACCACGGTGGCCGGACAGGTCGGAGAGGTGAAGCTAACTGAGACGCCGACAAATTCATGCGAATCAGACACGTTGGGACCAGAGGTCGAGAATATGGGAGTCGAAACGTCAATCAAATTCCAAGCAAAATCAAACATTAATGGTCACATTATCCGGTTTGCCGCCCTCCCCAACCAGATGGACCCACACAATTTAGGCTCGTCTCGGACTGCTACCTTCCCGACTGTGTTAGCCCAATCTAGGTGTTTTGGCCCATTCCCTTCGTTTGTATCCACTCCACAAGCAACGAGTCAACTAAACTCAGAAAATGGTCAAAATAGAGATCAAATTCGGTTTTCTCTAAAAAGGCGTCGCCTACATAGATCACCTTCTGGTGAAATCTTACCGTCATTCCCAACTTTTCCCCTAATCTTTGACAACGAAGATAATCAGGCTCCAAACATAGCTTCCTTCCCCATCGATGCACAACCCAATGACCCCGCTAACCTAGATGTTGAAACACCCGAAATTGAAGCAACAACAGTTGTGGCCTCCCTAATTGGGTTCGAGATCGAGCCCAATAACAACATCCTAGCTGAAGTACTTGGCGTATCAGGTGTAAACAATGCTCCCTAATGAATTTCCTTTCCCTAAATATCAATGGTATCGGCGGTGAACATAAGGTGGCCTGGATTAGAAGATTGAAAAGGAAACACAAAGTATCATTTATGGCGATTCAAGAAACACAACAATCAGATGCCGAACAAATAGATGCAGGAGCTTGTTGGGGCGATACTGAATTTGGAGTCAACCATACAAACTCTATTGGCAGGTCGGGTGGATTATTAAATCCGTGGGATTCCAAGTCCTTCACATCCACGGAAGTTATCTCCTCGCATAATTACCTCATCAATATAGGAACATGGGTGGGCATCTCTGCACCTGTCATATTCGCCAACATTTATGGACCTCAGCCGATTCGTGAGAAAGCAAAGTTATGGGAAAAGCTGAAAGAAATAAAACAAGAAAGGAACGGAGTGTGGATCATCATGGGAGATTTTAATGCTGTAAGAAGGCCTGATGAAAGATTCAATTCAATCTTTTGCCCTCGTACAACCAAGGATTTCAACAACTTTATCCTTGATTCGGGTCTCATCGACTTGAAAATGGGCGGTTTCAGATACACATGTTGTCGCAACGAAGGAATCAAACTAAGCAAATTAGACCGATTCCTGATTAGCCTGGATTTTCTCGGCATAGCTCCAAAAACCTTCGTAACTGCTCTTCCTAGAGAGTTATCCGACCATAGCCCCATACTACTCTCAACTAATTCCCCAGACTTTGGTCCCCCACCATTCAAACTCTTCAATTCCTGGCTTCTCAGAGATGGCTTTGAGAAGGCGTTCATAACTAGTTGGAACAATTTCACAGGATACGGAACACCTGATCAATACTTGGTTGCTAAACTAAGGCATGTCAAAGATGCACTAAAAAATGGAGGGCAACAGAACATCCCAAAGAAGAGGTAGCACTAATTAAGTTCAGAAAAAAGGTAAAATGGTTTGATCACGAAGCCGAATCACGAACCCTCAATCCAGAAGAAGTGCAGAAAAGACGGGATTGTTTTAAGAAAATCTCAGAACTGGAAAAACTCAAAGCGAGTGACATGAAGCAAAAATCTCGGATCAAATGGGTTGTCGATGGGGATGAAAATACCCGCTATTTTCATGGCCTGGTAAACAATAACAACCGGAAAAATGGAATAGACGGGCTCATGATTAATGGCACCTGGTGTACCGATCCTGAGAAAATCAAACTTGAAGCCTTTAAATTTTATGCAAACAAATTCAAAGAAAACTGGCCCTCAAGCCCTAAACTTAATCACAACCACTTCAAGAGGATCACCCCTGTTGACTGTCAAATGCTTGAAGAACCCATCTCATTGGGGGAAATCAAAGCGGCAGTGTGGGCGTGTGGAAACGAGAAAGCACCGGGATCCGACGGATATACATTCAAATTCATAAAGAAATACTTGGAAGTGTTGTTGGGAGATATTGCTGCAGTGGTTAAATTCTTCGAATATCATGGGAAACTCGATAAGTCATGCAATTCATCGTTCATCTCACTTATCCCTAAGATCAAAGACCCCATCTCGCTTCGGGATTTCAGACCCATCAGTCTGATTGGTTCTCTGTACAAAATCATCGCCAAGATCTCAGCGAACAGAATAAAGAAAGTGATGGGGAGTTGTATAGATGATGTGCAGTCAGCGTATGTAGAAAAAAGAAATATCCTTGATGGGCCGTTAATAGTTAATGAGATATGTTCCTGGGAAAAGAAGGCGAAAAGGAAAGTTCTGCTCTTCAAAGTGGACTTCGACAAAGCATTCGATTCCATTAACTGGGGATTCCTTGACTCCAATCTAAAAATTATGGGGTTCGGTGACAAATGGAGGGCATGGATTAAAGGGTGTCTTGAATCATCTAAAGCATCAGTCTTGGTTAATGGAAATCCGACCAAGGAATTTTCAATATCAAAAGGGGTTCGGCAGGGTGATCCACTTTCACCGTTTCTCTTCATCATAGTAATGGAGGGTCTAAGCGCTGCTATGAAAGCTGCATGTGAGATTGGTGTCTTCAAAGGCTTAGTTCTACCACACGGGGTACCAACCATCTCCCACCTACTATATGCTGATGATGCATTGTTCGTAGGAGAATGGTCGAAAAGAAATATAAAAAACCTTGCAAGGATTCTGAATTGTTTCCATGTTTCTTCGGGCCTCAAAGTTAACTTTGATAAGTCCAAGGTTTTTGGTATAGGCGCTGACTCGCAAGAAGTCTCTCGTTGGGCAGCAACCCTCGGTTGTAAACCATCATCTCTCACTTTCACATATCTTGAGGTCCCAATCGGAGCGAACATGAATCTTTCCAAGAACTGGAAACCGGTGATCGAGAGATTTCATAAAAAACTTTCCATTTGGAAAACTAAAATGCTATCATTCGGTGGTAGACTAACATTAATTCAATCGGTATTGGGCAATGTACCAAGCTATTACCTCTCAATATTTGTTGCTCCAGAAGGGGTAGTAGAAAAGTTGAAAAAAATTCGTAGAAATTTTTTATGGGGAAGATCTGAAGGAAAAAAATGCATTCATTGGGTCTCTTGGGACAAAGTGATTGCTTCTAAAGAAGATGGTGGTCTCAGGGTCAGTAGCATTAAATCACTAAATATTTCTCTCATTATGAAGTGGTGGTGGAGATTGAGGTCTGAACCTGCAGCGCTCTGGGCCAATGCCATAATCAGCATGCATAATTTTAAAAACAAACCTGACCTCTGTTATGCCAATAAATACATATCAGGCACATGGAAAAACATTGCAAGCATTGGCAAGCATCTTCAAAAAAAAAAGACATCCCCATTGATTCGGTGATATCCAAAGAATTTGCCCCCACGGGTGCGACATGGAAGTGCCATCTCACGGGTGATGGGACTTACTCGGTGAATGTTCTTCGGAAAAAAAATGGATTTTAACCCCAATGTAAACATTGGACGTTTCACATGGCTGAAGGAAGTTCCAATTAAAGTTAATTGCTTCATATGGAGGGCAAAACTGGGCAAAATACCTTCTGTTGTAGGTCTCTTGTCTAAAGGGGTAGCTTTGGAAAGTCCAATATGCAAACAATGTGAGGATGTCAATGAATGTTCAGACCATGCCTTGATTGGATGCAAATATGCGAAAATGGTTATGCAAGGGGTTTTTCAATGGTGTGGTGTTGCCATGGAAGAGTTCGGTACAGTGAACGACATGATCACACTTGTAAATTCACATTTCGGATGCTAAAAAAAGGGAGAATGTTCATGGGAATATGTTACGGTATGCTTTGGAGTATATGGAAAGCTAGAAATGAAAGAGTCTTCAAAAGTAAACAGGTGTCCCCTTATAAGCAGGTAGACATTATCAAATCTATCACTCACCTGTGGATAAAAAATAGGGGTAAAAAAGGCAACATTGATTGGTTAGCATGGTGTAATTGCCCATTTTTCTGTTTGTAAACGGTTGCCTACATTTTGTATTCCCATCTTCCTCCTCTAGTCACTTGCTAGAGGTTGGTTTTTTAATATATATATTTTATTTGCTGGTTCAAAAGAAGAAGAAGAAGAAGAAGAAGAAGAGGTTGGAAGAGACAGTACAAGTGCTGCGCCAAACAGAGCACGCGCAGAGGTTTTTGACTCAGAAGACTTCTAAAAAACAAACAGCTGCGAGATTAAAAGTGTTGCACGTGTGCTGCGCCGCGCAGCAGTAAGAGGTTTGAAGATGGTTTTTCCAAAAAACACACAACACCTAATATTGTGTCATAACTGGTCTCCAGTAACAACCATGAGTTGGAAAATATAAAAGGAATCCAACCTGTCTAAGAACTCACTCACAAGGGAGATAAACGAGATATTTGTTATAATAATATGAACATATGCATATAAATCATTGTCTTGGAAATTATAAATTATAAAATTCAAGGATAATTTCATTCTAAACTAACGAACTATTCATTTTTTTTACTTATTTGGCCATTAATCATTTTTATGGTATATTCTAATCCACTAAACTTTGTTAATTTGTTGATCGTACCATTTTAACTAATTTTGTAGATTGTCAAGCTGACTTGCCATTCTATATGGAATATTAGACACAACTTAACACCTTGATTCGTTTACATGATATCGATATGATTTATTATTTAGTTTTTAGTGTTAATATTAGAAAAATAGTTTTTATATATTTAAGTAAATGTTAAACTAGAAGTGGAAGGTCATTGATCATTGACTGGTACTTTCGCTCCCACTTAGTACCTAATGCCCTAAAATTACCAACATCATCAACCCTTGTGTCTCTTGCCTCCATCTGTTGGAAATTTTAGTATAAATACGTATATTTTTATTAACTTTGGACATATATAAATATATACATATGTTGTATATATAATTAACTCTAAGTGAGTTTGTATTCTTTACCGTGAGAGCTTAGGAGCAATATATCGTATGTCCAAAATGGAGTATGTTTGAACGAGATATCAACACTCAAAGTTGGGTTTTATTTTAGTAAAAGAAGTTGGCAAGAGAGGTGGGTGTGGGAATGAGTCCCACATTGATAGAAAGACCATACTCAAGTGAGTTTATAAGCTTGAATGCATGATAGGCTTTCAAGCTTGTGTCTATAGTTTTATTCCAATTCTTACTCGCGCGGGGTGTGCAAACGTTGGATTTCGTAGGCCAAATTCATCAAAATTGTGTGTAATTCCTATCCCAGGTTTGAGCCAATTTCTAAATTAAACCTTTACTTTGGGTGGCCACGGTGTGGTTGAGCTGAAGGCGTGGCAATATTGATTTGGGTCGCATACTTAAATTCTACGCCATGGCAGGTGTTTTTAGGGAAAACCCTAATCTTGGATTTAAAGAACATTAAGGCTAGAATTTCGTGATCATTCAGCCTCCATCACCCTCTCAAGCTTAGAAATCATAACATTGGCCTCTATTACAACTGTGGATTCATTTTGGTGTTTTTAGTGATCTTTTAAGGAGAAGGAAACCTTTTTGTGGAGATTTACCTTTCAAGCATCCTCTATCTTAGCTAGAACATCTTTTGGACCATGGTGAGTGTCCAAGTCCCAACCTTTGCCTTGCTAAGTTGCTAAATCCATGGATTTTGTGCCTTTCTTCATGTCTTGACAGATTTGAGTGGTGAGACCTCATAAAGTTTGCAACTTTATGAATCTACAGTGCATTTGAGTATTTGGTGCCGTGGATCTGAATTACAAATAAGTTTTGGGGTCATGCATGGATTTTTGGTCATTAACCCTCATTTTGAAATAATAGGAGTTTAAGACATTCTTTTGGACATTCATGTATGAAAAACAAAGATTTTTATGTTAGTAATGGTGCTAGAACCTTTCTGGGATTGTTAGACAAGTGGTCTTCAAGATTAAGTGCTTATTGATTAAGCAAACTTGTGTTTTTGCCCTTTTTGGACCATGGAGTTGAGATCTTTATCTCTTGGAGAGTCTTAAAGGATAAAGTTGAAAACTTTATCCATTTAGAACATATAATAGACCAGATCCGAGATTTGGAGCCCTTCGAATCAAAGAAAAGCGACTTAACCCATTAAGTTGTTAGGAGCCCAGTGCCCACGGTGTGGCCTAGGCTGCAAAGGCATGGCGACTGGCTAAGACTCGTCTACTTTGTCATTTAGTGGCCACGGATGGCCACGACATGTTGACCAGCTGGAGTTGACTTTAACATTAACTGTTGACTGTTGAATTTGACCAAGTTTGACTTTAGGTTATTTTGGATATTTTGATTAGTATATTAAGACTTGGGTCACTACTAATGTATAGGTAATCGATATAGTCAGTAGCTTGAGCTATGATCTGTTCAGCTACATTTTAGGCTGTGAGGTGAGTTTTTCTCATTGTACTTGTGGGTTGAAGGCACCAATGATTGCCCACTGGATTATATATCCTGGTTTATTGGATTGATATTATGTAGGTTATACGTTAGACTGGTAGGTCTGTATGATCACCTATATTCACAGAGTATATGTTAGACTGGTAGATCTATATGATTACTTGTACTTGTTGGTTATTGGTTTTTATTGTATATGTCAACATTTTATGGTTTGTTGGGTTGAGGCGGTCTTGCTTTGTGCTGAAGGCCAAGATACACAAGGCAGTTCGGATAGGTCAAAGGCCCGAGAGGTGGTCCATGTAACGCCCGTAGATCCGGACTAGTCAATTTAGAGACAATAACGGTCGAAAATGACTTTTCGACAAAACCAAGTTGTAGAATATGTTTCAAGGGTTCCATGCATATAAAGAATGTCGAAATCCGAGTTATAACGAAGAAGTTATGTCTCGTCGAAGTTTTACGGCAAAACTGGCACAACACCGGTAGACGTAAATAGTGAATTTACGATGGAGGAATTTTTTTCCTTAGAATTCTAAACAAAAGTTGTAGTATACGTTAAACCGAGAACATACAAAAAAAGAACGCCCAAATCTGACTTCGTATGAGGAAGTTATGAATTTTCTAAGATTTGGCATAGCAACTTGAATTTTAGATTGAGCGGTTTTTGGCCTACGCGACCTAAATGAGAGTTGAAGATCTCATTACTAGGAACTCAACGGTAAAAATACAAACAAAAACGGAGTCCGTATGTAGAAGTTATGAATTTTATGCGGACATTTAACTGTATAATCTCCTCCTACTGTTAAATTTAAGATTGGTCGAGAATTAGCCGACGGAGTCAAAATGAAAGTTGTAGATCTTATTTTTACCTACGTGTAGATATAAATAACGTAGAAAACGGGGCTTGTATGCGAATGTTATGGATTTTAGAATTCGGAAGTGTGCTGTGCGAAAATTGGTGGCGTGGCACAATCTTGGCCATTGCTTTCAGCCATATTTCACCTTATAAATAGAACATCTGTCACTCTCATTTTCTTCACACCTTTCCCATTCTTTCTTCTCTCTACACACTCTCTACACCTCCCAAAAACTCCCTTAGCGCTAGAAGAAAGCCCTGAAGCGCTCGACGGCTCTGAGAAGAAGAGCTTTGGGCTCGGAAGTTCTGCCCCTGCAGAGCACGACTTCTAGCCAAACCCCCTCGTAGGTAAGATACGCCTACCTAATTTTTAATATAACTTTTATTTAAATGTAGTAACGTTATTAGGACCTTATAATAATTATTTGAGCTATTATTATGGGTTATATAAGTGTCGTTATAATGTATTTTTAACCACTCGCGGTACGGGGAATCCGATTTGAAGTGTCTCTTGGGTTGCTGGATTTCAAAAGTGCTATAGGCCAAAATGATCCTACCCTCCGGTGTTCTATGTCTGACCCCTGTCTGTATATAGTGGGTGAAAAGTATTGTGTTAACGCTTATATAATATTAATAATAGTTAGACTATTAATTAGTCTCGTCGAGCATTAGACTAAACTCTAGTGGTAATGATACTAGGTTCTGTCAAAGGAGTTATTTAAAGTAAACGAAGTGTCGTCTGAGTGCCGAGTCACCACCTTTTCAAGTGAGTGCATAGTCTCTTTCATCTTACATATAGATACGAAGTATTTTAATATAAATTACGTGCTATGTGTGCATATTGTTTGAATACTTGCTGTCTATGCTGGGTGAAAGATTTTTATACATGTTTTTAATGATTTAAACTATATATGTATTCTATATCTACAAAATGTGTTGGGTAAAACATGGGTATATGAAATAGTTGTTGTGTGATAACACGATGAAATACATCAATGTTGACAATGATCCAGTCATCTAGTGGAGTATAGATGACGACCACAGACTATACTAGACAGTCCAGTGGAACACTAGCAGACTCGTAACTTGTAGGTGTTTTTTAACTAGGTGCTCATTAGGTATTTTGAACTGAGTGTGTTCACTAGGTATATTTGAACTAAGTGTGTTCACTAGTTATTTTTGAACTAAGTGTTCACCAGATGTTTTGGACTACGTGTTTACCAGTTGTAATCTATAAACCATGGTAACGATGGACTTCATACCTATTCCTTAGGATAATCGATAGGAATAAATGAATGAGGAATAGCTGATTCCTAGGGTAGATCCTTAAGAGTAAAGAAGATAATGGGGATGAGTAATTGGGTTGATTAATTGTTTGAAGATTAAACATAATAATTATATTATTGTGGGTTGAAAACCCCTATATACTCACCAGGTTTCCCAACCTGACCCACTCAGTTTATTTATACCATAGGTGTTGATATGAAGTCACATTACACTTAGAGATTAAGGAGATATAAATCAAT